TTCGAGACTTCGTTCTCCTGTACATAAATCGGTGTACGGTAGATATTGATGCACCTCATGTGGAAATCATATCATTATATTGCACACGAAATACAGAAATACAGATAACTCTGTGACGCTCAGTCCGTCACGGCACGAACATATATTTCACCAGGCCATGAGAGCGAATCGGGTGTTGAAATCGTTCAGTTAGAGACAAAAATAATGCATCCAGCTGGCTTGTTTCAGGTCAGGTGATTGCGATGTCCAGATGTAACGGGGCTACTAACAAACCATTTCAAGTTGGCAAACGACCACGAAATAGATATTGGCAGCGATTCTGAAGTGACTGGCCAATATTAAACTGAGGCGAAGCACACCAGGACCATGCCCTCTCAGCTAAATTGTCTGACGGTTTCGAAGAGTGCTGAAATATTTCCGAAAGTTTTTGGAGTTTTGTAACACCACAACCGGGATGACGTGCTCAGACCTAATCCCTGCACTTCCAGGAGGATGCGGGCCATATCCATTTCACTTATCTCAGCGTACCAAATAGTAAATTCTGACGAAAATATAACTCAATAACTGAGTGAGTATGTGGTTGGGGGATAAGCTTTTCCATCTTGAGTTTTCTAAATATATGAAAGAATGAGGCAAAAATGACCTATGAACGGATGTGTTCGCTGGTAGCATAAATGTGGACCTTGGTTGGAACAAGTTCTCACACCGAACAAAAACTTTTCCGTGGTCACAAAGGTTCGCGGTCCACGTCCTCACCGAATTTCATCATGTCAATGAACTTTGTCCACCGTCCCACCGTCGAACCACTGTATAATGTAGTGAGCAGGCGATGGAGGATGACTTCAGATGGCGTAAAGTAGAATAATCTACTCACGCCACTTAAGGAGAATCTGATGCACATGTAAGCTTGTTTTTCCTTGCGTTGCCACGTTCCATAAGGCACAGGTCTATTCGTATCGAATGGTTTCTTTCGATCGAAACATCGGTTTTCCAAGTGTGCTAGAACTTTACCAAGCTACCCACATGCCCTGCATGTGATAGAAGGAATGTTGTTTAGCCGGTAACACAACACTGTCATTTAAATTGCGTCGAACTAGCCAGGTTTCCATCATGATGCAATGGGCTTTTAAGTGAATGTATACCGCTATTTAACAGGCGCCTACCTCCGACTTTCGCAATCTATGTGCTCTTGGTAGATGCTGAGTTCTTCTTCTAAGTTCATACGTGCAAGCCTTGTGTCTGGATGTTGATTTATTCTTCTGTGAATATGATAGCAACTAGGAATCGAAACTGAATCACTGCGAACTACTTACCCTGTTTGGGCAGGTGAATAAGGAGATCAATTTGAATATTCAGTCTCGGACGTCAGTGAGTTCAATTCAGATTATTTCAATGATTTCATATCTACACTGGTGCTGCCATTGAGAGATATCACACTGCTATTGTCGGTGGTTTTGTGCTTTAACCTGGAAAAACCTTCGCACTGGCATGCACATCATTACGGAAGTCTCTTTCTAACCGTCACACTTGCTTCGACTGAATTCTCTCTGGGACTCTAGAACACTCGTTTCGTTAGTCTGTCGTTGAGGATTTACAGACACCAGTTTACGTAAGCTTTGGTTCGGAGATCACGGCTTTTGATCGAGGACTCAAATACAGTTTAGTCCTTTTACCGCCAGTGGCCGTGTCTAACAGCTATATAAAAGAAGCAAAATGTACCTTAGGATGATACAGTCTCTGAGAATTGGGGTATGCCACATTGCCTCCATGTCTTGAATCAGAAACGTGATCCTGATGGCATAGATTTGTGTATGAACTTCGTCCACACACAACTTGAGATTACGCATGAGTTTTAAAGCCAGCAAATCACAAGTTCCAGTAAACTGAGAGTTCCACGAAAAACCTTTCCACCGTTGAGAAAAGAGCACCATTCAGCGAATTCGCATCAACATTTCGTCCGGTAAGTGAAGACAGGAAGCACTTTACATCTGCCCCACCATGACTGAGGTTCACTGGAACTGTGAATCTCAAGAAACAAACACTCTACCTCTTGGCTGGTGTTCCATAGAGTTAACCTCTCTTTGCTTTTCATACATCTACAGTTATCGAACTGTCTTAAACGAAGAAACTGGCACGGAATAGAAAAAGCGGCCCTGCAAAATCCTGGAAGAGGTGAAATGTGAAACCAAAACGTTACTGATAGGTTTGGAAGAACACTTTTGTCTGTGAGAAGCCAACTTCCACTCATGAATCGTATAAATCTCGCTTATCCCGAATTGTGGTTATTCTCATGGTGCTTCACTAATCTCAGGGTAGCGCACAGTATCTTCTGACAAAAATGAATAAATAAATCGTTAATTGAGTGAGTATATGGCTGAAGAGTAAAAGTTTTCCTCCTGATTTTTCAAAGTGGATGAGGGAATGACCAAAAATAAACTTTAGGCGGATGGTTTTGCTGGTAGTATAAATGTGGAATTTGATGGGAACAAGGTGTCCCACCAAACAAAAACGTTTCCATGGTCACAACGGTTCGTGATCCACATCATCACCGAATCCAATCGGTCCAACATATTACCAAAAATGAACTTTGAAAACCCTTCCACTGTCGAACCACTGCATAATGTATGGGGCAGGCGCTGGAGGATGACTTCGGATGGTTTAATGTAGGGTAATCTGCTCACGCCCCATAAGGAGAGTGTGATGGACAAAAAGCAGTAAGATTTCTCATGTAAGCTTGTTTTTTCTCGCGTTTCCACATTGCAACATGTTGTTTTCCAAGAATAACTGACCGAAAATTGATAACAAGTGCTTATTGTTAGCAGGCCTGGAAAACGAACGACGAAATTCAAAGCCAGGACCCATTGGATAGAATGGAAGGTCTTCGCTTAAATCTATATTGAATAAATTATGGTGGTATTATGTTTAGCGTGGACATATGAGCATCCCCGGAAGAACCAACCACATTCTTTCATGGCTACCCAGTAAAATAACACCACCGATTTTCGTAGCTGGAGAGTTCGAAAGCAGGTGCGATGCTTGAACAATGCCACATGGAAAACTCCGAGGAATTCATTATTTGAGTGAGCTGTGTCCACAACCGTCTTGTAGATACAGATTTTCGCGAAACTCTCGTTTGAACATAGAAAAATTTTGTGTAAAATTTTAGAAACGGACGTTGTTCATTCAAAGCCCTATAATCTCTCGCAACACTCGCAGCTTCCTAAAATCTTTTTTCGAAACTAACTCAAGTTGGAGACGCTGTCAGATATGGCTGTTAATTGCTGTCACTCGCGTCCTTGTTGTCAGTCTCTCTCCAGTTTGCCCGAAACAGTGGTTGGAGATGTAGCGAGCTAGCAATAAGTCCTTTCATATTATGCCTTTATTGTTAGTTTCACAGTGAAACATCTGCGCTTAACTTTGATGTCAAGGTGTCGCGGATCATGATGATGATGATGTTGATGATGCTGATGGTACTGGTGATGGTGATATGCCACGACGATCGGTGGGTGGTGTTTGGCTGTTTGGCGTCAAATACCATTAACAAGCCCAGAGGACATGGGCACAAGGCGGAAGGAAGAAATACGCGATACCGTTCTACACAATGAGAACACGAGGAAAACATTACCAATTCATGGGGTTATGGACTTAAAATAATTTTCCACCTAGCAAACGAAACCTCCGGACCAAGGTTTAACTTCCTGTGCAGAAAAATGCCTTCGAAATCCAAGTTAGCTTAGAAACCCAGGAAAATCATCCAATAAGTAGGGCTAGAAATCACTGACCATGTCTCAAATCCAGCCTCGACCTCTCGACTAGTATTGTCCGGGCTTGATCGATCCGGCGATTCTGCGATTGCTCAGCACCCGTTCTTCCCTCGGGCAATAGGACGGCTGCATACCAAAACGGTGCTGCCGCTGAATTATTACTATAATCATTATGTTCTCAATATGGAACCTGCTGTTTTTTTAACTTTAACACTTTCAGTAGATTATCTTTAACTGTAGAGCTGAGAGGATTGGGAGCGTGAACGTCAGTGTATATTGCACCGCGAATTCATGAGTCCACTTCTTACACGAAGTCGCAAAATCAACGAACATAGACTCAGGCCTTCTCCAGACGCCCACAATTCAAGGTGGATACCATGTTAATGTGATGGTTCTACATTTTAAAGTGTATTCTCATCAAAACGAGAACTACTTTTAAATCTTTATTACAATTTCCGTTTGAATGGCTTATGAAGTCTTATAATCAGTTACTGATCAAAATAGGAAAAGAAATCTTGCTACGCGCACCCCCGATCCTGAAAATTGAAAACAAATTTACGGAACGTGGTGAATCATCGGTGCAAAATTCAACTGGTTTGAGCTTATCCAATGTTTCCAATTTCAGGGTCTTGCAATTTGATGTGAAGCAAAACCATGGAGAAAAGTAAATTCCCTGGTTCAAAGCTTCACGTGACCTTCAATTTCATCCACTTTTGTCAACCAGAAGTGTCATGAGACCATCAATCTTCGCAGTGAGTAAATACCCAGGTTTTGAGGAGCTAAATTTGAGTCAAAAAGATTTTTCAAATTTTAAGCTGACCTACTGCAAGCACACAAATTTGCTGGGTGATTTTCAATGCAAAAATGCATCAACATCCCCATGGACCAAAGTTATCCGCAAATGTACATATGAAGCCAGGAGCTGCGTGAAACCGTTTTGAGGATCTAGTTTGCTGCTCAGTACTGTCTGAAACACACAGGTGCTCAACCATATTATCCACATTTGTCCTAGAAAACACCGCAAATCATCAGCGTGCACAGACTGTTGAAAAAAGTTTGAGCAAATGATCAGCATTAAACAAGCTGACCCAATTTGCCGATGGTACCCTGGTTAGCAAAACATTTGTACCGCAGTGCAATTAGAGTTGCGGTGAATACCTTTTTTCACACTATCGCCAGACATGAGTAAGGCAAAGTTCAATTCACACGAGTCGCACCGTATAAAATTCCAGGCAAATGAAGCTTCAAGTAAGCCTGGACAAGATGCGTTGTTGTTCGGTTCTCATTGCGTTCTTGTTCTGCATCGACCATGTTGCATGGTTGGAAGCCGCCGGTGTTCACAATTGGTCATCGATATTTAACAACAACCCGTCAAAGAACTGGGCCGTCCTTGTCGCTGGTACCGAGTCTTGGGTAAATTATCGACATCAAGTAAGTTTCAGTCGGTTTTTCATTGGCCTGAATATCAACCAAAGACCACATGAAAGTGTTTCCGAAGGGGAAATTTGCACCAATGGTCCGCCAAACTGTTGTGATCCACCTAATTGTCTATATGGCTGTGCTGTTTTACTGAGAAAGACGGTTGATCAAATCCAACACTAATGGGCACACTTTTCTTTGCCTTTGTACGTTTTTCTAATACATTTCCTTGTTGTGTTGTTATTCAGCTTTCTGCCTTCGAATTCCTCCGTGAAACGAAATGAAGTGGGCACAGGAAACATTCTTGTCACGACGGAAGTCCAGCTAATTCCTCGGTGGCAGATACACTCACTAAGGTCTCTGTCGACTCAAATAAGCTTGTGTAGATTGTTTTTTCCGTCCGGGAAAAGCAAATTAGATGAGCGATTTCTAGTTGAGGCCAGATGCTTCATAATTTCGAAGTAGAACATGCAAGCGATTGTTTCTTCGGAGGCCCCACGTACAGTGTCATTATTTTAGTTTTAAGGCTGCAGTTAATTAGTTGCTTAATTGTTGAAAATGCTTAATCGAATGATTGGTCATGTATACTAGTGATTGCTTGGCTCATGGAAGGCCTCTTTGGGCCTGTTGCGTAGGGAACTATAACTCACCAACTCCTCAGTCCACAGCGATGCCCAACATAAGCAGGTCTTGTTTTCCTACCCCAGGTTCCACTGTTCTTTGAGTGATATTTTGTTCGCTACCTGGAAGTAAACTTGTCCAGGTTTCGAATAAATTTAGAGGGTTAGCCGAGATCCAGTAGTTGCATCTAATTTGTTGTACTATTTCACGAGCGTGGTGCTCGGCATTTTGAAGACACCACTTTCCAGTAGGAGTTAACATCAGAATTCGCCTTGTCCGGTAGGGTCAATATTGGTTCTAGTAGGCTTTTTTAACCGTAGGTTTCGTAGTCTTCTCAATGGTCGGCTGAGGTGGGCACATCATTCAAGTCCAGCAATATTGCGACAAAATCACCGACGAACAAGCGCTTGATCCGGGTTTACACAGGTGTTTCAGAATGAGTGACGCCACATTTAGCTAATGTCAATGTAGTCTGTCTGTTCTGGTGGTTGGTTTGTCTGAAGGTGCAACATGTGATGAATCACCCTCGTTCATTTCGGAAGTTACCCCCGCCCGTTATCAACACGTAACTATTTCAGGCGTCTGCCATTGCCCGTTCATTCATGTCTTTGACAACCACAATAATATATGGGCTTGTTTTCTTTCCTGGTTATTCTTCAAGGTGATGTAAAAATGCTACCATCAATGGGGATAACGATTCAATGAGATAACCTTCGGTTCGTTGACCTAGAAAAATATCAGTTCCAGTAGAACAAGCAGCAGCGCCAGAGGAGGGTAGTTGGGAGCCAGCGAAAACCAATGAAAAGATCAGTACAGCTACCTTGATGGGATAATACGTCCACATTTCAGAAAAAACAAAAAGCGTGTCCAGGTAACAAGGAAGCTGCGCAGCTAGTTTCAGAGCGCAAACATTAAAGATTGCCAGACGAACTGAAGAATAATTTCGGAGCGTCTAAGACTGTGGCAACCGAATTGACCGCGGATATTGCAGTTGACGTCAATGGGCGGCAAACAGATTCCAACGTGGATGCCAGATACATGGGAGAGAAAGATAGAAGGAAGGTTTCATTTGTAGATTTTCGCCTAATCGTCCTGCGGTTTACAACAGACAAGGCAATGGGTTTGCCAAAACCAGTCACAGCCGATATGACATGAGATCATTTGTAAGCGTACAATCCATACTTTTAATTAGGGTGTGATGACACCACTTCAATGAGGAATGCCCTTCACCGAGAATTGTTTTATTCGCAAACACCATCCAAGCAGCTACAAACTAGTGAAATAAACATCTCGTTTGCTCATGGATTTGGAAAACAAAAAAATTGTCAATATTCTTAAGAGAGTGAAAATGTCGATATTATAAACGGATACAGTAAACAAAGTTGACGCGGCGCTGAGGGTCGAGAAGACCACATACTACTCGCATGCCTGATCAGTAGTATCCTCCGCTACAGATAGGAAAGATCATTTGGTGTCTCCGATTAAGGCCTTCATCCCAAGAGCCTAGTTGCACTGCTCGATTTTCAGATTGGTGAGGGATTGTGCACTTAGCCTGAGGAGAATTTCCAACCCCAACATGGATGGTTTCTAGCCAGGGACCAACCTGGTAGGAGAGGCTCTATGAGTGTGGAATATGCACTGCTAAGTGGCCTGTTGAGTCGAACTATTCGCCAGGCCTCTGTGAAATTCAGGCTGTCTATAAAAGACCTATATACAGCATATTTTTCGTTCGGGTGACTATTCTGACAACAGGTGAAAAAGAACACCATTTAAGGTTTTTAGGAGTTCGTTTCATCTGGAAGGGTCGTGGATGAAACACTTTCCATGATCAAGGGTGCTATCCGTGGTCATTAGGATGATCGTAGTTCTAAATGAGACACAGAGTTGGTCAAGAAATGACGAACCTCCTTCGATTATTCAACGAGCCATCAGAGGCCATATCCATTTGAGAAAAACCTTACGGAGGAACAGCCCAGTCGCAGACCTATGCTCATTCGAGTATCAGTGAATATAAAACCCAAATGCGGTGGGCTCTTCCTGGCCAATCGGCTCAGCCTCCGAGTGATTACCGGGAAGTAGCGCGTTCGGGACTCTCCGGAGAAGCATGAAGTGGGCACTATACTTCAACTGCATATTCGACCTAGACGTTCTAACAGAGCTTGGCCTCAGATAAAGCATAAAATCACGATTGAAAATCCTAAACGATGAATTTCAGCCAAATATCTGAGAAGTTAGTTGCCGTGCCCAAATTTAAGCATTTAATCTATAAGGACAGACGTGAATACATTATATTCACATTACTACGCAGGTATGATGCATGCAAATGCTTTTGAAAGAACTGATACTGCACCAAGTATGCATGATTCTAGTCATTCTGCTTGCCTCTTTTAGCACCATGTACCGCACTTTGCTTGTTATCTCTAACTCACCTGCCATTTGTATTTCCCTTCAGGCGAACGTTTATCACGCCTATCGCGTCTTGCGTGCGAACAAGATTCCAGCAAAGAATATAATTACCTTCGCCTACGATGATATTGCAAACAATCCCAAGTAAATATCACATGGAATGTTTGCCATCTGGTAGTATCTAGTCTGTTGAAATTGCTTTCCTCTATTTGACTTTCAGTTGTCTCATTTCTGAGACGTAGATTTCACAGAAGTTACGAGCATTTCATTTTCTTCTGTTTGACCCCCACGTTAATTTCTTCCAAAAAACACATTGCCAGTTTTTATTCTTTCAATCCAGAAATCCGTTCAAAGGCAGAGTGTTCAATGACTACGAGCTCGAAGATATTTACAAGGGTGTGGTCATTGACTACCGTGGAAAAGTAGGTCCATGCTCAGCAAACAAATGAATTTGTTCACTGTGTAATGCAAGGTGTAAGTTATATGACACTGCGTAAAAACACAATAGTAAATCTAGAGCAGATTACTCAGATAAGCAGGGTTGTTCGTGGAGTGTATGCGTTGACCGACTGCTGGAAATTGTGGTACCTCCTGGATTCGCCATTTGCAAACAGCATTCGATGGACGCTGAATCAGGATTGGCTATTGGTTCCAACCAGAGTTCGGCTTAACAACCCGCCGGATCCAACTGCCATACACGGCAAACTCACTAACAATCAAGTGTTAAGTTTTCATCATTCAACGATCGTTGCGAAAGGAGTCTGAGTGAAGATAGAGAACAGATCCTAGATTTCTGTAAATCTATGGTTACTGTGAGTAGAACAATTGTGAAGGACACCATTGTCACAGAACTAATTGATTATGCGTGTTTATCTGTTTCAGGAGGTCAAAGCGGATATCTTCGCGAAAGTACTGAAAGGCGATTCAAAACTCGAAATAAAAGGGAAGAAGGTGTTGAAAAGGTGAGTCCGTGCGGAATTAGACATTGCAGATGCACTCGCTCATCGCAGCCAGAATTCTAATGTTGCATATCAGAGGTTTCGGATTTGCGAAACGCGTGTTTAGTATTCTCGGAAGTTACATGGTACGTAGTATTTTTTAAGTAAAGCTCCCAGAAAGCAGTGAGAAGGATTTACTTCACTCTAAGAGAAACCCCGTTTATCAATTCCAGACTATGGGTTATTATTATATGATAGGTATCAATCGCCACTGTTAACATGTTTCGAAAATAATCAGACATTCTCAGTTGTGAATAGTCAAACATCTGCCCCATCTTGTACATCTTGGTGTCGGTCGATCTGGGTTTTCTCGGATTCAGAATTTGTTTTTACTCGTTGTGTTGTCCAAAACATGAATAATTAATAATGGAAATCCAAGCTCACTTGCAGTCGTGTAGATTGGCTGAATAGAAACATGAATAATTAATAATGAAAATCCAAGTTCACTTGCAGTCGTGTAGATTGGCTGAATAGCAGTCACTCAAATCCGTATGGTCATTCACCGATAACACTCTCAGCTTCAAGAATACCTGCCTCACCTTGGGTTTCATGTGGTCTGGTAAGGTCACGATTAATTTTTTGAGAATCTTCCTACGGATTCTTGAGCCGCATATGACGAGAAATGATGAGTTGGCTTACAGATTCCAGCGACGATACCAGGAAAACGTGTATTCACTTGAAACTCATAAATCTCTCATCTAATCAGTTATTCACTGTGCGTGTTAACCGCTTCAGAGTTTCCGATCCCGCACGTAGTTTCTTGAGATAGAGAAAGAAAGACAGAAAACTAGATAGGTAACTAAGGGCGATAAAGTCCCTCGCAAATGAAAGTAGTGTTCTTAACTGAAGCGGCCTTCACTCAAACTAACTCCGAAAAATCGGTGCAAAAGAATATCAGAACAAACCAATCAAAATGAACTACTAAACCCAAAAGTCCAATTGGGAGTCAACCAAATGTGGGGAAGGAGGCCAAGACACAACAGAAATTGGTAACCGACCAATCAGACCATGATCACTTGGTCCTCAGACAGAAAATACTCGACTTCAGGGAACGCAGCAACTACAATTCCGGTCAGAATATTCGTTGGGCATATTCTGTGAATACAGCGGACAGATGAGCAATCTTTTGATCAACGCATACTTTCAGAGAGGGAGGGAAGAACTGCCGACGGAATCATTCACTAATGCTGTCACTTTGGTTGGTGACGGAACATTTGCGAACCAATCACCAGGATCAGAGAACATATGAGCATCCTGTTGTTCAACGACGAATAAATGGAACATATGGCTTCGTGGATGTCCGTGTTGGAAATATCGGTTTGTGTCACCTTGATCATAATGTTGATCTCAGTAGTGAATACACCATGGGAATATTTTCATACATCGAGTTAATTATGTTGCGTGTTTTCGAAAGAGCTGAGAGTCACCGTTCCAATGGCGAGCTGACAAAATCAGCCAACGTGGAAAACTGCCCCCACCCACGAATATACACTCATCGGCAAACTACTTTGGTTTTTTCGAGAGAATCTCTCGTAGGGATGTTCTCAGGCCAAAAAGGGCGAAACCGGTCGTGGGCTATCGACGGATTTTCAACAACCTTATGAGTAGTACATTGCAAAGATATACATGTATCGCGATATCTCGAATATCGTAGCGATTGAAACATGAGGCGGCCTGGTGCTGCACATTCAGTTGCTGCGAACGTCACAAACGAGAGATCCAGCTGGGTTCCAGGTGAGTCCCTCGACAAAACCAATTTAGTTCGCAAATGCATGTATATTCGCTAATTTCGTGCAATTTAGCTTCAATTGTAACATAAGGTTGATGGAAACCCGAGGACTGCGCCTACCTGATGAGCCCCAAAAAGGGCGAAACCGGTCGTGGGCTGTCTACGGATTTTCAGCAACCTTATGAGTAGTAGGTTACAAAGATATGCCTTCAACCACCTTCATATGTTAAAAGCCAAGCGAGTCAGTATACTGCGTGATACAACAGCAAACCAACAGGCGTCCGAAAAATTCATTTTTCATCCTCATATTCATGGGTCCGTGCAACAACCACGCTAAGTAGATTTAATTTAGCTACTGACTACATCCACTAGCGTGTACAAAACAATATTCTGACCTGCGTGTTAGTTATCACTTCACTTCAGTCTTGTTATGTGGCTTACGAATAAATCGCATTGGAATTGTGCGACTTAATGACCCAAATTTGAACATATTCATTTTACACACCATAGTCGTGTGCCATGGACCAAATTGAACTGCGAAACTTTGTATAACCTTATGAAATCGTTAATCACCAGTTAGCCAAGGCCGATTGCGCAACAACTCGGCTAATGCAGCGTGTGAGAAAACCCATATATTTGTGGAATATTACCATCAAATTTCCATTTCCGCGGCTTTTTGTTGCGCCCTATTATTCGCGAGAGCGTCACTTAATAAACTACTCTTTATGACCATTCCCGTTCACTTGCAGCGGTCCTGATGACAACGTTTTCATGGTTCGCCTCAAGGTATTTCCTTCTTACATGAATATGTAAGTTTTATTAATTTTGGTAACCATGTTTATAGCACACAGCTTTTCAAAATGAGGGTGAATTGTGAACGGAGCAAAGAGGCGCGCATTGGCACCCGTGGTTCTTTATAAAACAGATTTTACAATTTAAGCTGACCTCGTAAGGGTTCCATATTGATAACATTACATAGATTTCGTTTTACTAAGTTCAAAGCCGCTCAACTGATATAATTTCGCGGTTGATTCTTTTTCACTCTTAAGCAAGCTTACACGGTCAACCATGAGGCGTGGATGTTACAAATACAATATGCTGGTGGGATGTCGACGGATTTTCAGCAACTTCATGAGTAGTACATTACAAAGATATACATGCTCTTTTTTACTTCTCGACACACAGAGAAAATTTGGTAGTATGAATGGGTCCACGTATACTATGTATGAGAATGCAGTCTGGGATAAGAAAACGAGAAGCAATGTACAACTGTTACATCCTAATTGGGAATCATTAGTGGTGCGCTTTGTAGAAGTAAAATTTAACCGTTCTGTCACGGGTGGCCAACCAGCAGTTTGACAGAATATAACGCCGCTCATCCTTCAGTCAAGGGAACAATATCACTGGTAACATCCTTCTTGAAAGTCAACTCACCTATGAATTATTGTTCATTCCGTACCAATTACAGTGTGTTGGTAGCAAGATGAAATTAAGAAATCACCCTAAATTTTCGTAGAACATGATTAGGGATTGGTTTCCCACCACAGACTTATGGAACAGCATTTTAATCTGCAACGAGTAGTACAAGCTTTGTGCTGCAAGGTGACATTCACCCTAATAGGCACCCTTTGTACTGAGCGTATTCATGATTGTTGTAGTCGTTCTTAAAATGCAACCAAACCTATTTAAAACCATGTGAATGTAATGAGGAAATGGTCGAAATCGGCGGTAAAATTGACACCCGGAGTGAGATGAAATCGGTGGCTCAAACCGGCAACTCATTTTTCTGAATTTGTAACTGTAACCTTAATCACTGTAACATTGAACCCTGCGTGCCCTTTCCAAAGTAGGTTTAATGGATTTCACCAGGATAGCTGACTAACATCATATTGGACATGGCGGCAGAGATATTCCAAGAAAACAAGGACAATAACCAGGGTAATCAGAGTTAACGTCAGGTAGACCAAACATAGTCCTTCAACTGATCATGAGGAACAGTATTTCCAGAACCTCAATACTCGTTCAGCTATAATCATTCGAGCTCATGCAAACTTTATTTTTTGCATTACTTCAGCTCCATGTCGCGGAATTGAAGAATATCCTCACCGAAATGTATTCCAACAAACATTATAACAAATTGGTGATTTACTTGGATGCTTGCTCCTCCGGTTCGCTGTTTCGTGATCTTCTTCCTCCAAACGTGGGAAGTAAGTAGCGTGATTTTGCCTGGATCTCGTAGAGTTCCTGTGAACTAACATCCAGAATTTTCCTCGCATATGCCTGAAACACCGCACTGGCCAGTACAACAAAACGAAGTTCCAAGCATGTTTCATGCTCGTTCTCTTATGATCTTTGAACGGAGGTAGTCCCTGGCCATCTGCAAGAAGCTTTCATCCGAATAGTGAACAACATCCCACCTTCATCGATTGGTGTCACCTCTGCTGCTGAACTAGTCTCAGCTGGTTTGAAGTAATATCGGTGCAACACCTGTGCTATTTGGAGTTCATTTGCAGCAACCACCGTTTCCAGGTGAATACCATATTTGTAAATTATCAATGGATCTTGAGTCTTTCATAAAAAGTACATTTTCCATGGATCAAACAATAGGTATACCACCAGTGACGTGACTACCTTTGACCGTCACGATCGTCAGTGATCTATTCTGACGGGGGTTTTACCAGAGAAAAATCATATTATATATCTACACTGATGTGATTTGGAAGGCCTGAACCAACCGTTTTTAGCGAGCTCCGTCCACTCTGTTTTCTAGGAGTGATGATCGTTGAGGGAAATTCGAGAAATGCGCCTTTCTGATTGACCCCAAGAAGTGTGAAATCCATGGTGTTCTGCCGAAGATTTTACAGCGATCTTCTGTTTAGTGGGTTAGTTTCACGATTTCTGTGAGTCACAGTATAAGATCGTCGATAATAAAACTTATACTTTTTTGACAGTAATCCATTTGTTCTCTTTTCTTGACCCCCTCACCCAAAACTGCAGTCTACGCGGTAAATTCAGCCAAAGAAAATGAAGAAAGCTGGTCTATGTTTTGTCATAACAAACAAATCGGTGTTTGTCTGGCGACCGAATTCTCGTATGCCTGGATTACGGATTCGGAATTTGTGAGTTTTATCGAAACTTTTGCAGATAAGCTTGTCAGTTGTGGATAGATAGTTCTGTGGTAGGTAGCGGGCAATGGTAGTCTATTTGATTGTTTCTAATGAGTTAGCCATAATGTCTCAGTAAGTGTAAAACTTTGGGTGATAATGGAGTCTTGAGTCTTTGGAGACCGCCTGATTCCCACTCTCCCGGTTAAATACGCTGCAAAGTATGTCTTCGTACCAATGTTAGTGGAGATGCTGTTGTTGTCATTTTTTGGGTGTGTTCGGGTGTCATGTTATCGCCATTTGAGTCTTTATGTTTTCTCGCCTACCCTGCCTAATAGCAAATAAGTAGCAGCTAAATATTGTCCGAGCAAACGATAGATCCATTCAAGAAATTCCTCAAGCTTTGCAGGCGAAGTTGGCTGGGCCATGTGTTGTGCATTTCTAATAGCTGGCCGCCGAGTGGGGTGTTGTAATCCGTGCCCAGTTCGGATTGCCATAAACAAACAGGTAAGCAGAACTTGACATGGCACAGGGGAATTAAGGATTCTATGCAAATGTTGTGTTGTATGTGTATGGTGTCCTGGAACAGTGGAGTGATCACTGGTTTATCAGTAGTGGTATCAGTAGTGTGTGGTTCTTTAACTCGGTTGTCTTAACTCTAGTGCTTTCACTGGTTTTGCCTACATTATATCCATTTCACATAGCCTCCTTTGCTCATTATTACTCACCCACGCGCAGAATGACTTGAAAAAGCGTACACTGGATCAACAGTACGAGGAGGTGAAAAAGAGAACAAAAGATAGTCATGTGACGAGGTACGGTGAGATGGTGAGTCACAAACAGTCACGGAGAGATTCAGTTGAGTCACTTGTGAAAAACCAAACTGATAAAAATGAGTGTATTTTTTCGAGATGAGAGTTGCATTTCGTTAACTTAGAAATGTGACAGTAAGGTCAAATATGGCTGATTAGGTACCTCGTGTTCCATTGACGAAGTTCTGCAAGTCAGCCGGTCCAGTTATCTAGATATGCAATCCCGGCCAGTGTCCACTTTTGATAACCAAGCAATGGCGTTGGATACCTTGTGCTCTATACCCTTCTGTGCTATGGTACGAAAGGAACCCAAATATACATTAATCATCCACACGTAACTCGGGGGATGAATAGATTGACACTAGAACTAAAACTCTCATCCAAGAACTTACCACACGGGGAGCCAGTGAATATGTGGCCACGTGATGTGGTTTCCCGTGATTGAACGATGAGCGACGCCATGTGCTGTCTAAGTAAAGGCCAATCACACGGCTGATCAATCCGTTGTGGTTGAACGGTCAAGTATTCAGTCACTGGCCAGAAGGTCGCCGGTTCGTCATTCCCAGCTGGAGTGAGATGCGCACTGTTTCTGACTACAAATAAAGATCAAACATCTATACGGCGCTTCTCGGTTTCTCAGCACAGATTGCATTCACCGAAACGATGAAATATCCAATGAAATGAGAAAGTTATGCTTGGCGGCAAAAAAGCAAAAGTGCACAATAACACGGGTACAATCAATCGATATAAGCATGTCACAGACTCATTTTGATGTGATTCGACTTTAAATTATATACAATTTGACCAAGCCTTTGGCGCACTGTCCAGCTGGGTTAAACCTGTTAAGTAAGACGATCAAGCTTCATGGCAAATTAAAACGCATCTTTGTGTACACATCAGTCGCGAACGACGTATTTGTACTTCCTACGGAGTAGTTTGTGTGGTTACAAGACTTGCTCTGATAAAAAACAGTGATGCTATGGTTTCTCACATTTTGTAGTCCCAAGAAGTCGGGTTGCATGGTCTGAACATAAAAAATTAATCCATGCAAATTTTAGTAGCTGATAGACAGCAAAATCAAGAGAGCACACTGCTGCCTGAACTTGCGAGTTTTACCAAGCGCAGATTACGCCAACAAATCGGATACTGCACTTAGGTCCGCACCGCAGTTTAATAGACCTTAACGAAGGAAATTAGATGAGCATATTAGTGCTTCGGTGATCATCTTTGCTGTGCACTAGTGTTTGGGAGAACATTTTCGGAAGAAATGTTTATTGATCAATAGGATCTTTCACCACGAGCACGTGGTACCTAAGTGTAGAACTGCGGATGCATCGTAGAACTATTCCTCATTGTATGGAATAAGACACTGTCTAAGTTGACAACACACTGATAAGCGTATTTTTATTTATGTTCATTTCAGACGATTGGCAGTCTCCCAGTTGGAAAGTTCCAAGGTCATTATGATCTGTTCAGCGCAATATTCGATACTTTGAATTCTATATTGGAACAGTCAGTACCTACGCCATTGTATGTTTGGGAACCAAGTGATTACTCCACAGTCCACTGACAGTCTAATAAGTTGGGATCCATTGAAATTGATTGTGTCAATCACTTCAGTAACAGAAACGCTTTCCACCGTTCGAGTTGATATCGCCACAGGCCCTCATTTTAAGCGAGGGCACCCACCTTTTCCCCTAATGAACGAACTGGTCAGAATCTCTACTTCATATCCCAAATTGGTGTTAATGCTAGTGTCTTAGGAGATTCATCATAGTACAAGTTTGTCCGTTTTACTTAGAAAAATGGGTACGTGAGACATGCAGCTACTTTGGGCTATCGGAGAGGCCACCGCTCTCTCGATGGTGAGAACGAGGTTGGTTAGTGCACGAATCTGAACTATGTGACACCCGGTTTGTCAGATAATTATCAGGTTGGATGAAGTGTACATACCTATATACATGCATACATATATACATACATACAACATACATACATACATACATACATACATACATACATACATACATACATACATACATACATACATACATACATACATACATACATACATACATACATACATACATACATACATACATACATACATACATACATACATACATACATACATACATACATACATACATACATACATACATACATACATACATACATACATACATACATACATACATACATACATACATACATACATACATACATACATACATACATACATACATACATACATACATACATACATACATACATACATACATACATACATACATACATACATACATACATACATACATACATACATACATACATACATACATACATACATACATACATACATACATACATACATACATACATACATACATACATACATACATACATACATACATACATACATACATACATACATACGTACATAGACTGCGCAGGTTCTCCTCAATAGTGAGTAGTCTAGGAAGACCATTCTCCCAGTCAGCATTGACGGAGCTCCTGTTAACGGTATACGTTGCGCAATTGTTTTCTTCGTTCTAGCCGAATGTTGTAGATAGAAGACCTTCCTCTCGGGTGCATTTGTTCTCAATGTCCCGAAGCCTGATGGAGGCCACAACCGAGGAGGAACATGAAACGGCTTGGCGAAAGCTGCACCGTGCACTTCAGGTTTGTATTTTCTTTTCCTACACAAATCATCCCAAAAAGGAGCTGAATGCACGATATAACGATCGTTATAGTTAAGCATTGATTTGTTTAGTGGAGAATACGTGTTGAGGATGCAATGGAGCAGGTAAACGGTAATCAATTTAGCACTTTAGCAGCCATTTCATGAAGCCACCAGAAAATCGAACGTGGTCCGTTTAGTTGTGCAAGAAATCTTTTATAGTCTCCCGACAATCTTCCACAACTACCCCTCTTGTTATTTTCAGCTTCGTCACATCATCAAAGAGACGATTAACGACATCATGATGGATGTGAAAACCCACCATAAGCTAACGGTAAAGCACTTGTCCAAGAGAGATGAGCTCATGTGCTTGAAGGAAGTATTCGATCAATTCCGGGCTCACTGCTTCACAATCCATCAGGTGATTTGCGCACACATACAAGTGCGCGAAAATGTCTACCTTGTTTGCCAATGCATTCACCGTTGGCGTCAAATAAATCGAGGATCGTTCTCAAAGTACTTCTAGTTAGACGCCCAGCGATCGACATTTACGGTTGGAAATGTAAGGGCGAATCATCGAATACGGAAAGTGATGTGGGTTAAAATTAAAATTAGTGTAATGGAATGGGATCTACCATCCCTCACAGTGAGCACGTAAATATAAGAAGATTGACATCAGCTGAATGATGCTTTTGAGTACAGTTCAGTTCAGTTTACTTTAGTTCAGCTCAGCTCAGTTCAGATCAGCTCAGTTCAGTTCAGTTCAGCTCAATTAAGTTCATTTCAGTTGAGTTGATTTGATTTGAGTTCAGTTCAATTCAGTCGTGTGGCTAAAGGTTTCTAATCTCGGGGTTCGTCCAAACCCAGTTCAGTCAGGTTCAGTTCAGTTTCCTGTCAGTTGTTCAGCTTGTCGGACAGGCTCTCTTGCACTCTCTGGCGTGAATGAAACCCTAGCCGGTCTAAACCCACCACGACGTCAGTTTGATCGATCGTTTCGGAAGTGACACGGGACAGTCTTCACGAAGGATCCGTGTGTTCAACACTGCTAGTGAGTGTAGAGTAGCACGTGTGGCTAAAGTCACTGGTATTGTTATTCAAATCGAACAAAATCCAGGAATATTAGTATGTTCCGTGGATCTCTCAGAGTTTTTTTCATCTGCTACTTGGCCGAAAAATTTCGCGCGTTCTCTGCTAGTAGTGAAGTAGTTCATATCAAGACGCTTCGAAATATCCAAAAATCAAATATGTGGATTCCCGCCAACACCTCTCATAAGTAACTTTTTCTAATCTCGGGTCCCTTATCCCCTCGACCTTCAGTGGGGCTCAGGGACAATCTTCCCTACTCTGTAGCACAGTTGTCACGTTTTCTCGGGAATGTTCCATTTTGTTGGTATACGTTATGGTGAATCTTGTATGAACACAATTCCTTGTTCCTTTGATAGCATTCTTAGGCATTGGTCCAAACCTGTGTAGGACATGGATGACACTCGGCCCGTCGTATGCGTGGTGATTATATCGTTTGCATGCCCGGCCAGATTTCCCGGCTTAGATCATCTTATCTCTCTGTCTTCAGGTCCCAGAGGTAGCTCAGTACACAACTCATCTAATGGAGCTGTGCAAAGCCGGATACGAGACCAAAACCCTCATCGAGTCTGTCCACATCGTCTGCTCCTAACGGACACGCAACATGTTGTGTGATTCTGCCAGTATAAAATGAATTGCAACTGGTCCGTATCGTGTTCTGCTACCGTTAGAAGACATGGGTTGTATTTTTCATCAGACTAGCGGTCAAGAAATTGTTCGATATCAACCGAAGGAATTCAGGTAAAGCCGTCCGGATTCTCAGGTTCGGCGGACTTATGAGGACGCTTCCACAAACTTGACGTACTATTGCACAATGTATTCACAGGACGCATAATGATAGGCCGGTCGTTCAACGCAGTGAGGACAGTTACCGGCTGGTCTTTCGACTCAAAAACTGCTGAAATTCCAAGTTTTCGCTTGTTCACTCAAATCGGACTAGAGACGCATAGTCTAACTTAGCCCTGTCGACTATGAGTAAGTTCTCATACAGCCAGTCACAACATCGACTATGAGTAAGTTCTCACACAGCCAGTCAGAACTTCATCGGGTGCTTAGTTGAAGTCATCAGGACGGTGCTAGTTTGTCTCACGATCAGACGGGTTATTTGAATTCCTCTGTTTTTGCAATTGCTTTCTTACGACACCGGCAACCTGATATTGTATAGCTACTCATAAGTTTGCTGAATACTCTTCAACAGCTACCTACCGGTCTCCCCTTTCGGAGTTTCAATAGATAGGCGTACAATTTGGTGTTCAATTAAAACAAGGTTGATAGGAAATTGCAGACAAAAAAAAGCAAGGACGAATCAACGCCACCGAGTAGATGCGGTGTGGCGGTTGATTTACACGTTCTACACATGTCCATCTTTCGAACTCCGAACTCAGACAGCAATCTTATTAGTTCGTTTACACAAAGAATTTAGCGATCGTTTGATACAGTTTTTCGCCACCAAATGGTACTACTCTTGAACTGGACTTCATTTTGGGAGTGAAAAATAGGACTGATATTTTTATATAGAAATGCTGTTCCCAAACCAGTGCCTGGTGCCATAGAGAAATTACGGTTGAGGCAACACAACAGCTGTATTCCGAACAAGCGAGTGAGTGCGTGCGATTGCGAAATTTACAACGGCATGGCGCAATTTAAAGGGCACTGTCTGAGATGGTTCGAGGTTGTCTACTAGTCGCTAAGTGAACACTCATCAACATCTATCGTGCCTTCATGAGATGACTGTATGCTGGTCACATACGATTGCGCCTCTGAAGCGTACACAAATATTCAGGGGGATTTGCTAAATGTATTGAAGTTTTGACTGCCCTGGATGCTTGCCGGCTTTCCTAGAGTTTAATGGCCTCCGTTGGTTCCGGAAATTCGTTCGCAAAACTAACATTCATGATTGACACAAATACGCTCATTTGCACAATAACTTCGCTTTAACATGGGACACAAATAAACTCAGATAAATCTCCCGGGTATACTGGTCGGAATCAACTGGATTGTGAGTTAAACCGAATCTTAGAATTCTGTCCAATGATGAGTTCGTCCATGACTCTCGGGGTGAAAATTATTCGCAGTGTTGACAGTGTCCCAAGAATAAATTACCTAAACATTAGGGCACCCGAGGATTGTCAGAAAACCGTCAGCAGAAGTATGAATGTTGGCGCAATCAAAATACCAGGGTCAAGAACAGCTGAAATTTGCGATTTAATACTTTAGGCAGCCGCAGCATTGAAGACTTTCCTCAGAGGCCTGTTGGATTCGGCTCTGGAATCGCCCAGAGGGAACCTTGAAGGGAGGAGTTGTAAGTTGCGGAAGGGTTCTGACACAAGTAATGAGAATTTGTCCTGATCTCGTTTAGGAGCCGGTGAGAGTACGCAATAGGCCCATTAGCGTCCTTGTAAAAGCACGTATTACCTTATTTTATCAGAGTACTATGTTCAAAAACATGTGTTACCTTATTTTATCAGAGTACTATGTTCAAGGGTGTTCCGTTTTCTTCTTACTCTTAGCTGACGTGTGAATATATTGGGTGATGATGTAAATGACGGTAGGTTTACGCCCGGTTTGGAGGATGCCCAAATGAATTTGTCTACAAATGAGCAGTGTGACGTATGTTGGTTACCATTATTCAATTTACCCTTTCAGCTTTACCCTGTTGCGCTTAATGTCGTGGTGGGTTAAATGTGTTGGACGGTTAGAGAGATAAAATTCATCTGAGAACGAACGGCATCGAGTTCGTCTGGGCCACTAGAAAGAGTTCCGGTACTTTATTTCTTTCATCGTTTCATTATCTCAGCCAACATTACAATGATTCCGGCGCTTCAAAAAACACGTAATTGTTTGTGCTCCCCGAATGGACGAGTCTCCCGGAGGAAGAATCGGATGAGACCTCCAGATTCTGACTGATTTCTGGGACGATCGGGTTAGGGCCTGCAGTGGCAACTACGCCGTTGCTCTCTCACGAACTTGAGAACTGCGAAGAATGCACCAAGAATACATCTGGCTTTTTTGGAAAACAGGTTTCAACACTCTATGAAGCGGCCGATCCGTCTAGTTTCCGTTGCCAGTGGATTTACACTAAGCACTTACAGAGCTTTCACATCTACAATCAGTAGATTGTTCGGTAACGACCAAGTCAGTTCTCGTTTGCCGTGGTCACGAAATCCAAGCATCTCGTGAACCAGGCGTATATTTATAACCATATTACCAACGTTACTGTATTCGTAAAATCACCGTCCATCCCTTGACCATTATGTAGAATCCCGAAGTAAAGTAACTGATATATTTTCTGGTCCCTGGCGATCGGAAATTTGTTCAGGCATTTTACTTCTTATATTTGGTCCCGTGACGAGGATACGGATGATGATCCCGTGACCGCAGCATTTTGTGATGGGTATGTGCGAAACTTCCTGAAGTATTTCGAGGAAGATGCGAAGACGGCTGGACTGGAGACCGACCAGGGTAATTTGGCGGCACTGCAGACTTTCCTCAGAGGCTTGTCAGATTCGGCTCTGGAAGCGCCCAGAGGGATCCTTGAAGGGAGGATTTGTACGTTGCGGAGGCCGTACTTGCAGCAAGCCCCGACTCACTGTCGACTACCAGGAGAATCTGAGGCGGTTCAAGAGGGTTGCGGTGGAACCTGGGTGTGACCCGAAAGTGTTCTTCACCAGCCTGCAGCAGTCGTTGAATCGGGCCTTGCCGAGACTGGACGGAGTGTCGTGCGATCAGCTGCTGTCTGACAAGTTCACTGAATAGATGCAGCCTGCGCTTCGTGGCCAGTTGCGGTTGGCGTGAGCCACTGGTCAGGTGAGTGAGGATCACTTGGTGCATCTGGCACGCGAATTGGCCTAGGTGACATTGACCACGTTGCAGCCGCGGGGAGCCGGGATATGTCAACAGTGGGAGACCTGAATTACAAAGCGTATTGAATCGTCCAACTGATTGCATTCATCAAGTGGAGGGATCTTCAGTATTCCGGTTTGAGTGGGCTTTGCTCGCGGAAGCTGGGCATTCGATGGCAAGGTCCGACCGCCGGGAAACACCTATACAATTAATGGCGGTCGGAGATCGAAAAGATGAAATGCAACTCAACTTCTAAAGTGGTATGTTACACCCGAAGTGCTACCAAACGGGCCAGCTGCTGGGGCCGATTTTATGGAGGCAAATAAAAATCGGTGGCATACAAGCGGTCCTTAAGGGGTAAAATTGTGTGACGGTGGATAATATGATGGGACAGGAAGAATAGTATGTTTTTTCGTAACTCTGCCTTGATCTAATGGAAATTAAGAAATTTGTGAAACTGCTTTGCAGCAATAGTTTATAACTGCGTGATAATCACGAATAGACATGGAAGTGCGAGAATATGCGTTCAAGAAGACGGTTTTTTTCTAAAAACAAGGTGCATGTAAAAGCTTTATTTGCTTGTTTATAGTCCCAAAAAATTGGTCACTCGAGGATCCAGTCAACAAGTGACCAGGTGATGCGTTTTTCCGTTATTTAAGGATGAGCGACGTCGTAGACTCTCTCAGTGAGAGCTAATCACATCTCTGACTCGATGGTTAAGAGTGGAAACCAACAGCCGGCCAGTCACGCTTTCGGTTAAAAACTACCCAAAATTTCTTGAGATATGCACTGCTAATGATTTACAGGAAAGATGAAACAGCTTGACAGTGCATCTCATCTTTCACGGCGTAGACTTCCTTTACATACAAAAAGAAACCTACCCAAGATTTTTCATACTGTTAACAACTGGGGACTGCATCTATCCCTAGTGTAGTTCCGGCCCTGATGAGCAGTTCAAACGCACCATCTGAGAATAGCTCGTTCTCAGAGCAAGGTCTCTGATCGGTTTGGATCATTCTTTGGTACCATGTTTGAGCACAATGTGATGCACTACTACGCCGTGGATCGTCATCGCCCGTTGATTGGCACGGTTTCCACCTAGACTCAATGCAATATGTGTTCTGTCACTAATAAGATGTATGTTATGTGTGTATTATGTGTGTGTTATGTAGTAGTCTGCCTCCACCGGGCTTCAAGCGGCATCCAGTTCCGTGCAGTGTATGATTGTTTGTATACTGTTGTCCACACGTCACAAAAAAACTTCCATCGCAGTCTGTGTGTTGAAAACTGTAGTCAACCTTGGGACGAATGTCAGTGCAAAATGCCATTGTAGGTTAGTCCTAAGAAACACATCTGTGGAACATGAGAATCAGCTGTGACGCTGCATCTACTCGTGGCTTTGATGCGTCTGTAATCTTCCATCAAATTTATGCTGTAATTGAAAATCGCATTGTACGCGTTTCTAATGAAACCCAGAGAGGGAAGGCCGATAATGGGCTGCTGAAGAGTTTTCAACAATCTTCTTGGTTGGCGGTCGTTTCATGAATAGTCGTGCTGATTTTGTTGTGTATCAATTGTGTGGCGAACCGGCCTGTTTTGTCGCATGGCGATTTATTGGTCAGCAATTGAGCAGGATTTCCCCCCCTGGTAATCGGTCTCTCGATTATGCTGATTTCAGTGCGGTACTTCGCATCCGATGTATCCAAAACTCCTCCTTTTGAGTAACTAGATTATGTTACCTGACAAGTACATCGATTTTGGATTCTGCATATTCCTATCATCGTTTTGCATTGATTGGGTCGCTTG